CAATTAACAGTTCTAGAAATTTCAGAAGCTAATGATATCAGACTGAATATTTTAAGTTTTTTATTTTTGTTTTTTTAAATGTTTTTTTTTTTAACGTTTATTTATTTTTGAGACAGAGAGAGAGACAGACAGAGCGTGAATGGGGGAGGGGCAGAGAGAGAGGGAGACACAGAACCAGAAGCAGGCTCCAGGCTCTGAGCCATCAGCCCAGAGCCCGACGCGGGCTTGAACTCACGGACCGCGAGATCGTGACCTGACTGAGCCACCCAGGTGCCCCTGAATATTTTAAGTTTTTGAAAGTAAGACGACAGTCATTTCTTTAAAATAGTCCAGACCATAAGCAATGGCCTATTTGTTGTTTCCCCTCCGACAAAAAATTTTAGCTTATCCTTGCAAAATTAGTAACACATAATAATTCAAAACCATTCAAAATGACACTATGAAATAAATTTTAATATAAATAATTAGTATTTGTCTAAAGATAATTTATTAATAATAAACAAAGTTAGTGTCTGATATGTTTAAACACTGGAAAATTACAAATCAAAAGATAGAATTCCTAAATTAACTAAAAAATCACTCTTACAACTGTAAAATGAGTCTTAAATAATAATAAATGATCAATCATTAAAGTTATTCTTAAAATATACATATATATATTTAAAAGCAGACCCTTCTATATATTCAATCAATACTTTTCCCAACACTGATGAGGAAAGGCTAGAATTCAGTAGCAGTCTAAGTAAAAAGCACATTCTCTAAAGAAGGACTAGAGCATTCTAAGGCAAGGTAGCATGGCATGTGTCAGTAACTTGAGATGCTTTAGTAAGGCTACGGCACAGATTACAAATTGGAAGCAGTGGGAGACGACACTGAGAAAGAAGTTAGCAGGAGCCAAAGTGAAAGTGGACTTCCGTGGTAAGTTAAGGGATGAAGAAACACAGTAAAGCATCTGCAACAGGAGAGGAACATGGGCAAATCAGAGTTCTACAAAGGTATCTGCTGCAGTATGGAGGACAGACTGATGGGGTGAGAAGAAGACAGGGAAACTACTTACAAGCTGTTTGCAATGACAAAAGCTCGGACCAAGGCAATGGCTCTCACCACAGAGAGGAGAGAAGAAACTTGAGAAATACTAAGACGTAAAATCATTAGGTGTTAGTTACTGTGAAAACGTGGGTGTAAGAGGTGGGCGGTCTCAAGATTACACTGGAGCTTTGGTGACTAGTGGATGTACCATTCCCAGGGTTAGGTAATAATATTTCTGGACATGCTGCATTTAAGGTGCCACATGGAAACAGCAAGTAGGTCAACAAATTTGAGGATATGGAGTTCAGGACTGAGAGGACCCTAAATTATCAGTGGCTAGGTTGTAAAAGGAATCTGGATGACAGATCATCCAGGGAGTGTAAAGAGTGAGAAGAGATGAAGGCTGAGGGTTTGGAACTAGAGGCACTTAAGTATATGATCCCATATTCTTGTTAAGAGGAGTCCTTTAGTCCTGTAACTATCACTTTTATTCATTTTAGGAGAAATGGGATTATTTAGTCTGCCTTGATTTTACAGATCAGAAAACAGAGGGTCAAAGAAGTTAAGTGACTTTACTTAAAGCTATTGGTAGAAGTGATTGAAAATTCAGGTTTCCAGATAAAGCCCAGGTTGTTCCCTCTTATTATTCGAATGCTCTCTCTCTATAATAAAATGAGGGATAAAAACCACATGATCATCTCATTAGATGCAGAAAAAAGTATTTGACAAAGTTCAACATCTGTTCATGATAAAAACTCTCCACAAAGTAGAATTATAGGGAATATACCTTCACATAATAAAGGCTGTTTATGACAAACCCAATGCTAACATCATATTCAATGGTGAAAAGCTAACAGCTTTTCTTCGAAGATCAAGAACAAGACAAGAATGTCCACTCTCCCCATTTTGATTCTACATAGTACATATCATAGTCCTCGTCACAGCAATCAGACAAGAGATAAAAGGCATCCAAACTGGGAAGGAGGAAGTAAAACTGTCACTATTTGCAGATGACATCATAGTATGTATAGAAAAGCCTAAAAACTCCACCAAATAACTCTTAGAACTAATAAAAAAAATTTAGTAAAGTTGCAGGATACAAAATTAATGCACAAAAATCTGTTGCATTTCTATACACTAATGAACTACCAGAAAGAGAAATAAAGAAAATAATCCCATTTGCAACTGCACCAAAAATAATAAAATACCTAGAAATAAACTTAACCAAGAAGGTAAAAGAACTGTGAACTCTGAAAACTATAAACGCTGATGAAAGAAACTGAAGATTATACAAACAAATGGGAAGGTATTCTATATTCATGACCTGGGAGAGTTACTATTGTTAAAAATATCCATACTACTCAAACAATCTACAGATTCAATACAATCCCTATCAAAATCCAAATAGTATTTTTCACAAAACTAGACCAAACAATTCTAAAATTTGTATAGAAAAAGAGAAGACCCTGAATAGACAAAGCAATGTTGAGAAAAAGGAGCAAAGCTGTAGGTATCACAGTCCCAATTTTTTTTAAGTTTATTTATTTATTTTTCAGAGCAGGGGAGGGGCAAAGAGAGAGGGAAAGAGAGAATCCCAAGCAGGCTCTGAACTGTCAGTGCAGAGACCAACGTGGGGCTCGATCCCATGAACCATGAGATCATGACCTGAGCTGAAATCAAGAGTCAATGGCTGAACTGATTGAGGCATCCACGTGCCCCATAGCCCCAGATTTTAAAGTATACCACAAAGCTATAGTAGTCAAAACAGTATGGTACTGGCTGGCAAAAACACAGACACACAGATCAATGGAATAATAGATACAGATCCCAGAATGAAACCCATGCTTATACGATCAATTAATCTACAACAAAGGAGTCAAGAACACACAATAGGGGGAAAGATAGTTTAATCTCTTCAATAAATATTCCTGGGAAAACTGGACAATTAAATGCAAAAGAATGAAAGGGGACCACTTTCTTATACCATACAGAAAAATAACTCAAAACAGATTAAAGATCTGTGAGACCTGTGGGGCACCTGGGTGACTTCAGCTCAGCTCAGGTCATGATTTCACGGTTCATGGATTTGAGCTCCATGTCAGACTCTGTGCTGACAGCTTAGAGCCTGGAGTCTGCTTCAGATTCTGTTTCCCTCTCTCTCTCTCTGCCCCTCCCCCTGCTCATGCTCTGTCTCTCAAAAAATAAAAAAAATGTTAAAAAAAATAAAAAAAAAAAAAAAGAAAAAGATCTGTGAGACCTGAAACCCTAAAACTCCTTAAAAAACACAGGCAGTAATCTCTTTGACATCAGGCTTCACAACATTTTTCTAGTTACATCTTCTCTGGCAAGGAAAACAAAAGCCAAAATAAACTATTGGGACTACACCAAAATCAAGGAAGGAAATCATTAATAAAATGAAAAGGCAACCTACTGAATGGGAGAGGATATTTGCAAATGATCTATCTAATAAGGTGTTAATATCTAAGATATATAAAGAATTTAAACAAGTCAACACCAAAAAACAAATAATCCGATAAAAAATGGGCAGAGGACTTCAATAAAAATTTTTCCAAGAAGACATACGGATGCCAAGAGACACATGAAAAGATGCTCAACATCACTAATCACCAGGCAAATGCAAATCAAAACCACAATGACATCTCACCTTCCACCCGTCAGAATGGCTAAAATCAAAAAGACAAGACATAACAAGTGCTGGCAAGGATATGGAGAATAGGGAACTCTTGTGCACTACTGGTGGGAATGCAATTTGGTTCAACCACGGTGGAAAAGAGTATGGACATTCCTCAAAAACCTAAAAATAGAAATATCATATGATCTAGTAATTCCACTACTGGGTATTTACCCAAAGAAAACAGAAATATTATTTCAAAAAAATATATGCAATCCCTTTGTTTACTGTAGCATTATTTATAATAACCAACATGTGAAAGCAGCCCAGGTGTCCATCAACAGATGAACGGATAAAAAAGACGTGGTGTGTATATATATATATATATATATATAATAGAACTCAGCCATAAAAAAGAATGAGATCCTGCCTTTTGGTAACACCATGGATGGACCTGGAGGGTAAATAAGTCAGAGAAAGACAAATACCATAGGATTTCACTTATGTGTGGAATTAAAAAAAAAAAATGAATAAACAGATAAATAAACACAGAATCATAATACAGAGAACTAAATGGTGGTTGCCAGAGGGTAAGGGCACTGAGGGGCTGGGTGAAATAGGTGAAAGGGACTAACAAGTACAAATTTCCAGTTATAAAATAAGTCACAGGGATTAAAAAGTACAGCATAGGGTATCTATGGTCAATAATATGTTATATGGTGACAAACAGTAACTACATTTATTGTGGTGAGTACAGCATAATGTATAGAACTGTCAAAACACTATGTGGTACAGCTGAAAATACATAACGTTATATGTCAACTGTACTTAAATAAATTAAAATTAAATAGAATTAAAATAAAATAAAATATGTGCTCTTTTTGGTACTGTAACCTTCTTGCAATTTTGCCTCATAAATCTTCAGATGACAAGAAGGCAAAGATTCCTTCTTCAGTGGTTGATGACAATAAATGCTTCTGTTGTTGTTATTTTGTATATATCATCAAAACTAAAATGCTGTATTTCCAAGGCTAAACTTCCATCAATACAGTTCGTTAGTAAGACCCCAAGTTTACAATTCACACATGTTTCTTGAGTAATCTGGGAAACAAAGAAATTGCTATAATTATGAGTAGCAAATGGCAACTCTATCAAACACACACACAGAACGTTTATGAGACACCTCAGAGGAAACTAGCTATAGCTAGTCTATGCAGTCCTTTTTAAAGCTGAGATGGTCAAGAATGGGTTTCGCCAGTGAATTCTATCATACGTCCTAGAAGATATTTTCATAATTACACTTAAGAAAAACAAAAAGCAAGGGATTTCTTTGGCCCACCTGCTTGGTTTGGCTGTTGCCAGCTTGGAGATTTGATAACGTTGGTGGATCCTGGAGGTTTGAAGGCAGCAGCAGTTGTGAGACCAGCCACCCCTGGTCTAGTGGCCGCTGGGCTCTCCTGTCTCTCAGGCATGCTCCGAGCTGAAGCTACTGATGGGACCAATTGCTGAGGAGTCTCCTGGGTGTTGCTAGAAAGGAAACAAGGAAACGCTTTGGTGAAGTGATAGCAGTCTGACTTAGCAATGAGCCTTTCTTTTCTCAATCTATTAAATCTCTAAGGAAAATAAAAATATTAATGGATATTTTAAAAAAGAAAACCGTGACTGAGGGACTATCTTTCTTTGAAACAAACAAAACAAAACAGGAAAGGAGGAAAGGAGTCAGATTACATTTGTTCACTACTTTGCAAATTCTCTTTAAAAGGTCTACCAGGAGAAATTAGGCTATTAAAACATTGTTACACCCAATCCCTTCAAAAAAGAAGCTATTTCTCTCTTCCTATTCTTATTTCAACATTTCAGAAGAGTCATCTGGATTAAAACAATTAATTAGTAAAGAATCCCTGATAATCTCTATGAAATGGCATAGATATCTCTTCCCCCTCCTTCTCACATTCTTCTGGAGTTTTATGAACTTAGTTTTCCTGACATCTTAACAGTCACTCTTTTCACTCACATACTTACTCACTTATTCATTCATTGAATAAACATTTAAGCACCTATTACATGCCAGACATTGTGCTCAGCACTGGCCACAGAGTGGTAAACAAGAGATAACATCCCCTGCTTAATAGAACATACAATGTTGTATGTTCATAACACAGATAAACAAGACAAAACCGCCACTGTCCTCACTCAAAGTTATTTATTTGCTTAACAGGAGGCCTCATCTGTGCTGGTTCCAGTTTGACTTAGAAGACCATATGGCTTTTTATTACCCTGTCATTTGTTATTTATAATTACATATTGTCATTTCAAAAAAAATCATTTTAAGTAGCTCAAATTATAAAATATGTACTTTGGAATGATATAATACTATAGCACTTCCTCTCAAGTGAAGTATCACAATAATAATTATTGTAACAACAATAAGAATACATTATACTAACTTCTGAACAAAAATCAAGGTACTGGTTGCTTAAATAATTCCATGCACAGAAACTCAAGTCCTTCCATAATTGAAACAAATAGCTGGAGGAATAGATCAATAAAGATAGGATACTAATTAATGACCAGTGAAATAAGTGCCTTTAATTATACTGCTTCGGTTGAGATTATTTCAATGAAAAGAAATTTCAAATTCAATCATGACCACTCTACTACCATTCTAGGGGCTCCTGGGCACCTGGGGTGGTGTGGGTGACTTCAGTCGATTGAGCATCCAACTCTTCATTTCAGCTCAGGTCAAGATCACAAGGTTCATGAGATTGAGCCCTATAGCCTGCTTAGGATCCTCTCTTCCTCTTTCTCTCTGCCCCTTTCTCTCTCTCTCTCTCTTCCTCAATCTCTCTCTCTCTCCTTTTCTCTCAAAATAAATGAGTAAACTTAGGGGGAAAAAAAAAAAAGAATACCTAATTTTTCCAACGCTCTTGAATCTGGGATGAAAACTAACAAAGCAGACCTGAAACTGCCTAGTCTTAGGAAGGCCACTTGTAAGGTTGGCCTCTAACTGGCATTTGAGAACTTGGCCGGTAAACAGTTTCCTACAATCATATAAAACTTTTTTTCTAAAAGATAAGAGTAGCTCACTGTGCCTAAACTGTATAAACAACATGGTTTATGCTGAACACCTGCTTTCCTTCTGAGAGTCTGGACTTACAGTATAAACTAGGCACAGGGTGACAAAATAAGGAGCCCCAATAAAAGTTTGTCTTGGGCGCCTGGGTGGCTCAGTCAGTTGAGCGTCTGACTTCAGCTCAGATCTGACTTCAGGTCATGATCTCATGGTTCATGGGTTCCAGACCTAAGTTGGGGTCTGTGCTGATGGCTCAGAGCCTGAAGCCTGCTTCAGATTCTGTCTCTCTCTCTCTCTGCCCCTGCCCTGCTTGCTCACATTCTGTCTTTCCCTGTCTTCCTCTCTCAAAAATAAACATCAAAAAAAAAGTTAAAAAAAAAAAAAGTTTGTCTTACGTACTCAGTTGCTAATGAGCTTTTCCAGTAAACAACATTGTGCACGTTTTGTCACAGCTCACTGCTATAGGAAGGAACACATCCTGTGTGACCTCACTGAAAAAGGACTTTTGGAAACTTGAGTGTCTTTTCTTCTGGACTTGATCCCATGTACCCTTTCCCCTTGCTGATTTTGCTTTGTATTCTTGTACCATAATAAATCTTAGTCATAAGTACAACTATATACCCAGTTCTGTAAGTCCTCTAGTGAATCATCAAACCTGGGGGCGGTCCTGGGGTGCCTCTGACACTAAACAGTTTTGAAAAATCATACTAGAGCTAGTTTAACTTTCTTGAAATATCATTCCCTATTACTGTTCTCTCAAATTCAAGTGTAACAGAGCCATCACCTTCTTAATTTTTTAAAAAAATTTTTAATGTTTATTTTTGAGAGAGAGACAGAATTGAGTGGGGGAGGGGCAGAGAGAGGGAAACATAGAATCTGAGGCAGGTTCCAGGCTACGCGCTGTCAGCACAGAGTCCAACGCGGTGCTCAAAATCACGAACCGTTGAAATAATGACCTGAGCCGAAGTTGGAGGCTCAACCGACTGAGCCACCCACGTGCCCCTAAGATGTTTAAATCTTAAACAATACTCTTTAGATACAAAGTGTGAGCAGGAAATTATAAAGACAGACCTTATAAAATTCTAGGGGCACCTGGGTGGCTCAGTCAGTTAAGCATCCAACTCATGATTTTGGCTTAGGTCATGATCTGATGGTTCATGAGTTCCAGGCTCTGTGCTGACAGTTCAGAGGCTGCTTGAGATTCTCTCTCTCTCCCTCTCTCTGTCCCTCCCCTGCTCACTCTCACTCTCTCTCAAAAATAAATAAATAAACTTTTTAAAAAGTTCTAAATTATAAGAAAGAAAGCTGTTCCATTTACGTTTAAATTCAGGACTGTCAGCAGAGCTCAACATTCCCAGGGGAAATAGATCTCTACTTAAAAAATTTAATGTAGTAATGAAAGAATATTAGGTTTTATTGAGACAATCATATATCTGAATAAATAATGCTTAGGTCCGTAAAAAAGCTAACTTCTTTTTTCCTAATTTTTAGTATTAGCTACTACTTAGAGAAAATACATAAACAATAGGTATCGTTGTACTGAAGATTAAAGAGTTAATAAAGCCACTGGCTATATTATTTTATATTTGGGAATAAAATGTTATAATAATCACTAACAGAAAAATATTTTTAATTAATGACTAATTTATTAATACAGTGGCATGATTACTTAGATTAGTATCTTATTTCTGAAATTATGACTCATATATATTTTTTCTAAATTTAAGTTGTTGAAGATATACCTATATTCTAAACAAAATTAAAATGCCTTCTAAAGGATTCTAATAAGCAAACCAGAATAAATCCATAAATACCTTTAGCTAATTCCACAGAAGCTAAGGATCAAATATAGTCATTTTTACTAGTCTGTCAAATAAATAAGCACTGAAATATTAAATGGAAATGACTTCCATCTCAAGAATACCAAAGTTTTTGTTTCATATTACAAAAACTCAACACAGAAAAATACACTAACAGAGCAAAGGTTTCTTTACAAAACTGACCTGTTGAGAAAAAAGAAAAAGGAAGAAAAGTGAACTTTCAGTGTCTGGAACCTGATTTATTTTGAGTTTACATTCCTTTCCCACATTTGTTTAACTATTACAACAAATAAATTTCGGCTGCAGATTGACAACAGTTGGAAATTTTGTTTATTTTCAACGGAAAAACTGTTCAAAAAATACTCCTGAGGTAAATTTTATTCTAATTATATATTTAATTTTTTAAAAAAAACCCAACCATACATCACAGATTTAATTATCAATGTTTAAACTAAACAGTTTTTGGCTAAAGTGTTACCAAAAAATTAATATACTAGTAGACTCTGAAGTAGTAGGAAAGGAATATTTCTGGAAGGATCATCATCATTATAAGCATTCTTCTGTCAGAACTCTAAAAAACGACCTAGACAAAGAGAGAAGCCATGAGCCTCCTTCCTTCCTGAATTGTTTGCAAGAAATTTTTTCCTAAGCAAAATTTTTTACCTTAAGACTTTTTTGTATCAAAATTCAAAATGCTGAATATACTACAATAGAAAGAAACAAGTTTGGTGGTATACTATACTTTATTATAATTTTAGAGATTATTCTCTTAGAAAAGGAAAAATAAGAGATAAGACATGTGACTGTCCCAACTGCTTTTTTTTCTCACTTAAGTTCACTAAGGTCTCCTCAGAGAACCAAATGTTCCTGCTGTTGTAGAATGCCAACTCACTTATCTTGTTGAAAATCATTTCCCTTCCCAAATACTGAAATATGTTTAGTTTGTGCCTATTGCATGGATAGTGTCAGTCAGCCCATTACTGCATGCACATCTTTTTTGTTTTTTAAACAAGAAGTTTATTTAAACAACAAAATGTTTTACTTGAAGGGAAAACTATCTAGGATTCACTTATTTCAGAGTAATCTATCTCTACTTAAAGACAGACTGCATGTAAAAGCTATGTATGAAAATGTCATAAAACTGTCCTTGTTTTTGCAATGGTAAATGAAAAAAACATTAAAATTCTCTCATCAAGCAAGGGTTGCAAGAATTTTAATGTTATTCTTTTATATTAAATAGTGAGTGCAAAATAACTTACTGGAATATGAAGATAAGGGCTGACTGAGCAAGGCACTAATGAAGGAAATATTGTCTCATAACTAGTATTTTTCTCCATCTTATTTCCGTTTTCCCCATCCCATCTCCACTTGATATCAATCAAAACATATCGTTGGTCACTTAGTTTTTTAAAAATGCAATAGGTACTTTTCTGGAGAGAATATCTAGAACATTCCATTAAGTTCTCTAAGGGACTTTTTATTCTCAGTGTGGTCAGTAGCCTGTCTCTGTACAGACAGAGTCAGCTCTGATGATGAAAGATTTCTGCTCAATTAACAATCACAATTCCACAAATATAAAATTATTTGGGGAGGTTTTTTTTTCCTTAGAGAAAAATGGACAATGATCTCTCTCCCTCTATTTAAACATCCTCCTAAAAAGTCATATAATTAAGTATATTGAAAACCTCCATAGCAGTGGATAGGCTCTAAACACATAATCAGTGGATGGCCCAAATCATATCAGGTTTTTACTAATTACAGTCATAGTTGTATACCCCAACATTAATTTTATGTTCCATCAGAAATGATTTTATACAGTTATTTCATTAAGATTACACCTTTAGTGAACACTTGGGATATTTTTATTTTTTATATTATGCCTAATAATTTTTGGCATCATGGTTAAGTTTAGTAAAAAAATTAATTTTGTGTTTCAGAATTTCCCAGATATGGTGAAATTGTTGTTTGCCCCAGTAAAAACTTCGTATTAAGTACTATAAGTAGTAGCCAATCAAAATGAATTGTTTTATTATTCTTTTTCATTTCTGCAAAAGGTATAAAGGTATATCTTACTAAACATTTGATTATTCTAGTAGAGCTACATGCACGCAATAAAAGGGTTCCACTATAATTTAAATACTTGCAAAACTACTAATAATTTCATACCAACATCAAATGTGCTATTAAAAAATGTCACAAGGGGTTAAAAGGAAAGTTAATGACCATACAAAATAACATGCTTGTGCAATAAGCATTGCACTGAATTTACAGTTAATTTAAAACTGAACACAAATCTGCTCTAGGACTTTCTCATCTGGCTTATTAATATAGTGGTTAAGTGTTAGAGAGAAAGCAGTATATTTCACAGCAAACCACCACCGTGATATGCGCTGCCACAGTACCTTGCTTCCTTAACATGGATAGAGCCAGTTGACTTCCTGGAGGCCTGGAGGTACGAAAAAGCTAAAGGCTTGGAAACAGGGCTGATGCTAAGTGCATCCAAGAGTGTGTGATATTTATCAGGACTGGAGAGCCTGGTGAGCATTCAGAAAGAGGTTTAAGACGAAACATCACAGGACCAATAGCAAAAAGTAGTTTTTACAGTCTATGATTGGAAACATTTTCAGAAAGAGCTACAGACAGAAGATTTTACAGACAGGCAGAAAAAACAAAGCAGTAGAAAGAGGATAAAAAGAAGGGCAAAGAGTATTCTATTATTTGACTCATTCATATGGAAATGACTAGATTTTCACCAAAGTTTAGATTGAGACAATCTTTTAGAAAGCATGTAAAGCTATAAAGACTACTAGACATTATGTAAAAACAGAATCTCACAAAAATAAAAAGTTACTATTCTTTTTGGGGGAGGAGGGGTGTTAGAATAGTTTGACTTTAGATCACCCTCAAATACAATCAGTTTGTGGGAGAAGAGAATACCAATAGAAACTTAAAATATCTACTGATAGTTCATTCTGTTTCAGATTATGAAAAACTAAAAATTATACAAACCCCACAACATGCAACTGAGAAGTATCCTAGACAAATGGCAGTAATGGAAAGAGATGAACAGGTGATTTAAAGAAAAACCAGTAACAGGGGTGCCTGTGTGGCTCAGTCAGTTAAGCGTCTGACTCTTGGTTTTGGCTCAGGTCATGATCTCACGGTTTCATGGGTTCAAGCCCTGCCTTGGGCTCCGTGCTGACAGTGCAGAGCCTGCCTAGGATTCTCTCTCCCTCTTTCTCTGCCCCTCCCCCCACTTGTGCTGTCTCTGTCTCTCTCAAAATAAAAAAATAAACTTAAAAAAAGAAAAACCAGTAAGAAACACTGTGGGAGAGGTCTATGGCCTGGGTAAAACGTTCACAACACAATCAAGGTCTCACACAGAGCTGTGACTGTTTCAAATGGCTATGTCTTCTTTGAGGGGACCTGTAAGGCTGTGAAAAGTGTTGGAAATCACACAAGACACACCCTGCACATAAAGCTCTACCTGGTTTTTGCAGCAAGAACAGCAGACACAGTAGCAGCTGCGCTGCTCAGAGCCGCAGCACTGTATCTAGCAGGAGAAGAGAAGGTAGAAAAGTTTCGAAAACCTTCCAAAGAACTTGTTGCCACACTGCTTGTGTTGCTGCTTAAATTGATAGGTGGGGAAGGGAAAAAAAGAGGAGAGGAACAAAAAGGGAAAGTGAGAAGAGGTAGCATAATAAAGGTAAGATAGTAAACATTCTACATTAATAGACATTATAAAGGTACAATACAGAAGTGTAACAGAAGGTCAGGTCATTTATTTACTGTTGCTATGATTTCTCACGGAAATTAAAATTTGATATATAATCCTCCATAAAACTGATTTTTGAGATACAAATGCTTTTGAATGTATTTAACTTCTGACTCTAATCCTATTTAAAGTTAAATCAATATCATACATCACACATGTGAGGATTGATTTGTCAGCATCTAAGTAGAAAATAAATCTAAACATGATGTTTTGAATTTCTGTAAGCAGAGAAAGGAAGGTTATGTCGATTTCTCTAAAAAGCCTCTACGTAAAGAGCTTTACCTTAGAGATGATATACACCCAGAGCCTGACATTTTAATGAGACTGTGCTTTCAAGAGAAGCAGGTACAACCAGCTGCCTATTCAGAAGCAGCAATACATATTAAAAGGAATAAGAAATAACTTTAAAATATTGAGAATGAACCTCTTTGGGGAAGAAAAGCACCCCTGTAAAATAAACAGCACAGTTTAAGTGAATATGACTAAAACACCACTCTCCTTAATGTTCTATACTCCTATTTTCAGTTAGCTCTGTCAAGACTCAAAAATGCTGGTATAAAATTTTATTTCCAGAACTCTTATGATTAAAATAATAATATTTTCCTTTGGTCTTTTAGTAAAGGTCAAACACCTGGACAGGAATTAACATTCCATCATTAGGGCTGTGATATTTTTCAAGTTGGTTATCAACTTGAAATTGAGAATTTCTTTTTTATTAAGTAAAAAGAAAATCTAAAATGCACAGTGTGAAACCTATGGTCTCTCCTCCTCCTTTATGTGTGCAAGTTATTAAAAAACATTCTCACCATTCTATGATCACTTTTTTCACAAATGGTGACAGTGGCCACCTCCAACACAAAGCAAGTATGTGCCAAACTCAACTCAGGTTGATTTAAATGAGAGCTCAGGTGTCTGAAACTGTCTTTTCTCCTTGTTGGAAGGATTTGATAATCCATTATTCCTAGTTCCACTGGCTATAACTTTACAAACTGTTAGAAAGCAAATTAAAGAGCAGTGGCAAGCCATTTTTAAAAATTATACAGAGTTGTTTAAGTATAATGTTTTCCCAAGCCTATAATTTAACTGAACTGTAGCGCTATGTTTTAGCAACTGTCGTGAATGGCTAGGAAAGAAAGAATGGGGCGAGAAAAGAGAAAAGAAAGATGCTATTAGTGTCAGAGTAGGGTAACATGAGTGTCATGCAATGTGGATGAATCAAGTTACCAAATGCCTCAATTGTGAATTTCTCGATTACTCTGCATCTTTCAGGCAATGGGTACTATTTGGGGGAAGTAATGGAGAATAATAAGAAACTTAATTCTATTTAAAAAAGAAAAGGAAACTGTAATGAATTTCTTTCATGGCATTGTATCATAAATATTCATATAAAAGGACTTAGCATGAGTGCAGTCCTGTACAATCTTACAAGTAACCTCAATCAATATCTTTAGAAGACGTGTGGGCACCCAGAACATAAGATCTCTAGTGCTCCTATTTTAGAAGTGATGCTCTAATTCAGTAGACTTATAACAAACTCAAGGGAGCTGACTTTCCAAATCACAACGAATAAATAGAAGGCATAGACCCTAACTCTATATTTATGTTTGAATCTGAACAAAAGAGAGAGAGAAAAAGAGAGAGAAACATAAAATCAACGTAAAGTGGTGTTCCACAGCTGAGCGCCAAGCTTTCTTGTCTATATATTAATGATGTCAGTTCTGTAATCTACGATCACTTGTTCCCTTTTAGTCCATTTTAGTATATAATTGCATCATTAGCATTAAAATTTAGACATACCAAAAAGGAAAAAAAACTCTACCTAGAATATGTAGTCACTTTGGAGAGTGTGGCTACTTGGCTACCAATATGTAAAACCTGAGGTGCTGTGGGTCGGGGAGGTCCACTCCTAGGTAGGTCTTCCCAAGAACTGTCAAACCTAAGTTTTCAGAAGCAAAATAAGCAAGGCAAAGGAAATATTAAGGAAAAGTACAGACACTTATCATCTATCCACCTTTTAAGTACACTGGTTCCATTTGGGAAAAACTCCAGCTTTTGTTCTTTAACTTCATATCTGCAAAAAGTTAAAACCAAAACCAACACCCTCACCATCACCAAACAGAGGCTGTCCTCATCCCCCATTTTTTTTAACATGGCTACCTCCGTGTGGGAGAAAGGTGGATGGGAATTCCCACACATCTAGTCCCAACACTGTGTATTATGTACTATGTAGGTATCCAATACAAAGTACAAAAGACTATGTACTTTGCATGCTTCAGGGAAGTTAGGCTCCACAAAATTAATTCAGTTGCCCAATATCATATACCTAGTAAGGGTCAGGTGGAATTTGAACCAGGTCTGTCTGTACTATTTCCACTACATAATTCTTTCCAGCATCTTGTGGGGTGGCTGTCTGAGTAGGGCACTGCAAGAAAGCAACTAAAAACATCTTATCAAGTCAGAATGCTGTGCTTGCAGATCTGGAATTACACAGATGTTTATCTCCATGGAAACAAAGTATTTTATCCAGTCACACAACAAATGCTTGCATGCAATTGTGTTGCTTTATTTTTTACTTTGTTTTTCTCCTTGCCCATACCATTTTTTTCTTCTGAATGCCAGAATTAAATTTTAGAAGAACTACCACCAGGTTAAAAAAAAAAATGAAAAATTCAGTGTGAGGCTTGAAAGAAGAAAACACAATGTGTAACACTTTGGGAAGAAAAAATAAATAGGAGAAATACAAAATTTCCCATTGTTTAAAAAAAAAAGAACCTGTGAATAAAAAAATAGGTCAGTCGTGTTACATGGATTTTCAGAATAGAAAATGGAACACTAAGACAGAAATAGAAAGGGAGAGAAGTTATATTCCCACTTTTTATTTAGCATTGGTCATACCTTTACCAGAGTGTTGAAAAACAAGGTAGATAACTAAAGAAAAATGTCATGGTAGAATTTAAGTATCATTTAAGAGACAGAGTAGAAATGTTAAACAATAAGAACTGTAAATCCTATACCAGGCGTCAGCAAACCATGACTATCGGACCAAATAAATTAAGAGTGGTTTTCATATTTTAAAATGCTTTTTATAATTTTTTTAAAATTTATTATTTATTTTGAGAAAGAGAGAGAGCACACGAGTCGGGGAGAGGCAGAGAGAAAAAAATCCCAAGCAGGCTCCACACTGTCAGCACAGACCCTGATGTGGGGCTAAACTCCTGAACTGTGAGATCATGACCTGAGCCAAAATCAAAATGCTCAACTACCTGAGCCACCCAGGAGCCCCTAAATGGTTTTTCTTATTTTAATGAAAAGAAGGAGCGCCTGGGTGGCTCAGTCAGTTAAGCATCCAACTTCGGCTCAGGTCACGCATGATCTCACAGTTCACGTGTCTGAGCCCCACGTGGGTCTCTGTGCTGACGGCCCCAGAGCCTGGAGCCTGCTTCAGATTCTGTGTCTCCCTCTCTCTCTGCCCCTCCCCACTAGCACTCTGTCTCTCAAAATCATGAACATTAAGAACATTTCAAAAAACTGAAAAGAATAATAACATTCCATGATACATGAAAATTACATGAAATTCAAACTTCAGCTCTCTTCAGTTTTAATGAGCTTTAAATAAAGCTTTATGGAAAGCAGCCAGGTTCTCTCATTTACATATGTCTAGGGCTGCTTTTACACTACACACACAGGTTAGCAGCTGTGACAGGCCAGGTGGCTCACAAAACCTAACATATTTCCTATCTATCTGGATCTGTACAAACACAGTTTGCTGACCCCTGTCCTAGAGATAACATCTCTACACAGCTACCAGAGTAAACTTTTAACAACACAAATCTGACCCTGTCTGTCGCTGAGCAGCACTGCTCTAAAGACACCTGTGGTTTTGGGCTCCCTATTCTCCAGTAAGAGCTCTTCCTTTCTGCCCTGCTCCAATCCAACTGCTTTTTCCTCTCTTCCTGAGAAAGGCCACGTTTCTCCCCACCTCTAGGACTCTGCACGGTCTGCTACCACTCACTCTCAATACCTACCTCTCTACCATACCTTCGCTGGGCTAATTCCTAAGGGTGCTTCTGGCCTCAGTTTAAATGTCACCTTCACAGGGAGGTCTCAATAATTCCCCAAATCACCTTAGGTTGCCCAGGTCCTATGCTTTCAAAATACCCTGTACTTTTTCTTCACAGAACTTGTTCCTAATGAAATCATATAGTCTGTGGGGTTATTTGTTTAAATCTGGATTCCCTCATTAAATTAGAAGCTCCCTGAGGTTAGGGACCATTATGTTTACTGGTATAAGTGAAGTGCTTACCACAATGTAAACAATAAATATTTGTTGAATAAATGCATGAATGAAACTTACTGTTTTCAAATACAGAAGTCACTTTCAATATACATATATTTCTTAGAAAATACTTGTACCTTCTAAAGACTATACAGCAATCAGGTTAAACAGGTACTATAATACTGCCTAAGCAAGAAGGGTCACATCATCTAAGAAATTACTAGACCTCTAAAAGTATCTTTAAAAATGCCCTTTACAAGAAATTACTAGACCTCTAAAAGTATCTTTAAAAATGCCCTTTACAACATAAAGAACTATCAGTAGTCTAGAAGAAAAAGAGAAAACATAAAGAATTATCAATGTCTACATATGACTATATTAATGAGGACAGGTAAGAAAAGGGATAAGGTGGAGTTCGGTCTTCCAATACCTCCATGAAATGTGCTGATCGGAAAAATGAGTGCCAATTGAGAATAAACTTCACATAATTCATGAAATATCTTCTAAAGCCAGATTTCCAAGTTGCCAAACAAATGCACTTGGCAGGTTTCCCATGAGTTATGCACACCTATTTCTTTGCTTAGCCAACCTCTAAAACTACTAGACTTAAGAAAATCTTGAACTACCTCATTTAATATGGAACAGACATCAGTATCTACTTTAATTCTGCCATCCCCTAATATTTATTCCTTTTAGGATTGGGAGGAAGCTCTAATTCATGTCACCTCTGCAGCAGCCAAACTTCCTGCTTTGTCTGTTACTTGAGTTTTCATTTCTTACCAGAGAGAGGTATGAAGACTTAAATCATTCACAGGTATGTCTGAAGAGTTGGGCTTGCAGCCTTTTAGTCTGCTTTTCTTAGGAAAACTGAACAAAGAGCCATTTGTGCATTATCTTTCTCATCAATTGTCTTTCTTTGCATAGTTTCGACATTGTCTCTTTCCATGCTTTTTAATGGGGACCCATGCTAACAATTTGTCCAGGTGTGAGGCTGCTCATTTTACTAATTTACCATTCTGCAGGACCAGGGAATGGACCTGTCTTTCTTTGCCCCAGTTCTGACAACTACCCAAACGCAAGATCCTATGCTGTGTATTCCACCTCCTCCCTTTTTCTCAGGGGCTTCAATTGATATATTTCCTTTGCATTTTCCATCTCCCTCTCCACTGCATGCTTTGAGTCCCCATTCAAAACCACAATAGTACAGGGGCGCCTGGGTGGCTCAGTAAGAGTCCGACTTCAGCTTAGGTCATGATCTCGTGGTTCGTGAGTTTGAGCCCCGTGTCAGGCTCTGGGCTGGAGCCTGTTTCAGATTCTGTGTCTCCCTCTCTCTCTGCCCCTTACCTGCTTGTGCTCTGTGTGTGTGTGTGTGTGTGTGTGTGTGTGTGTGTCACTCTCTCTCAAAAACAAATAAACATTAATTAAACACAATAACAAAAACAAAACACTGTAGTATAAATCCCAGTGCAACTCTTTCTGCCCATGGATCCTGTCCCTGAACTTTAATAAAATGGCCTTTTTGCAAAGGAAACAAAACACCAAAAGCCCAATTATAAAATAATTTCTCCTAAAAAAATAATAATAAAACACATGAACAACAAAACTACCTTTCCCTTCCATTTTCCTATTCCTATTAAAAGTCAAGCTGAATGATAGTTTCACTCCAGCAACTCTGTCTCCATTTCCTCACCTGCCTGTCACTCTTTAACCACCTCAAGTGGGCCTCATCCTCCAAGCTTTATAAAACCGTATTTTTGTCAAGGTAACTAATGACCTCTCTGTGGCTAAATTCAGTTGACAGTTTGTGTTCCTCGTTTTCTTTTTATTGTGGTAAAAAACACAACATAAAACTACCTTCTTAACCATTTTTAAGCGTACATGCAGTTCATTAGTCGTAAGTATATTCACCGTGAAATAGATCTTTAGAACATTTTTATCTTGCAAATCTTAAACTATAGCCATTGAACAACTCCTCTCCCCCCCCGCCCCCAGCCCCCTGGCGACCACCACTCTACTTTCTGTTCTGTGAATCGTCTTTAATACCTCATATAGGTAGAATCGTACAGTTTTGTCTTTTTGAGTACATTCCTCATTTTACTTAGTCTTGGTATGAAACCCAGCTGACCACTCCTTCTCTTCTCCTGTCTTCTGTACCTCAATCGTACACACTTGCCTGTCTTTAGTACTATTTTGCTGGCTATTCCTAGAAGCCCGACTCACTCTTCCTCTTTACCTCATCCCAACAATCTTTCTTGACTTTACTGCTGTCACGTTGAATCACTGAATAACCTGACGGCTAAATTCTTTGGCTTCTTCACTTCATTGATAATTCTTCTAAGGCTAAATCTTAGGCCTGGAATATCTCAGCCATGCACTCCAGAATTCATAGCCTCTATTTTTCATCAAAAAGAATAATACACCTAAAATCTGGATTTTAAGCACCTCTTTGTTTTGTAACTTACTCCTCTACATCTTGAGTCTATTAGCTTCTTTACTATACTGAACTGACATTTACCACGGACTCTTACCAACTAAATTAATCTTTACCAAATTCACACAATCTTAGCAGCATTTCTCTATCCATCAACCCCTGCCCCTCAGTATTTCTACACTCTTGTCAGTACTTCCTCTAAAATATACACCCATCCAACTCTCTCACT